AGGAGGTAAGAAACAAGAGACTATTGTTAGCCATTTACAGGAAAACACTATGGAAATTTAAGGAGTGGTCAGATTACCAATGTCAGTTCAAAGATCTGAAGTCAAGTCATGGTAACATTATGAACTGTTAGCCGCCTTAATATGCTAATAGTACTGCCAACTGGATAATTAATGTCATCAGGTTGCGGTTTTTTTTTTTTTTTTTTTCAATAGCAGGACTATCCTCTTTGGAATTTTCCTGTCTCATTTTAGACTGCTTTATTACTAAGCTCTCTTTTTGAAATCCCAAAATGATGTCATGTGTAACAACAGCCGCTAGAGAGCGATAGATCACTTGGAGAGTCACCACCTGGCTTCTCAGAAGCAAGACCACCGATTTGTCAAGAGGATTGGAACTGGTTCCAGCCCCAGAGAAAGACAAAATCCAGTGTACATTAATTATAACATTTAAGTAAGTAGCCTTTCTTGTTCTCCTTGGATTTTACTTTAGTCACTCCACTTTTTTAGTTTTTAGGTTTATGCACTATGTATTTTAAATCAGTTGGGATCATTCAGATTAGAACACTTTAGCAACTTGAAACATCTGACTTATTTTGTACACGTGCACACATGGTAACGAGGCTGTCTTTTCTCCAAGAATCTCTTAAGTGTATGTATTTGGACATAAATAAGAGTCTCATATAATTTTTTAGAACTAGGTTGATGTTTTGACTCTTGTTCAGGCTTTTAGTTCTTACAAAATAGTCCTCAATTCCTAGGCTGAAGACGCACCTACATTAAGTAAAAATGCCCGGGGGCTCTTTGTAGTTGCCTCGTATGCTAGTCCCATATCCCAGGCACTCCCAGATATAGGACCTCAGAGCTGATATGGAGAGGAAGGTTATGAGTGGTGATAGACGACGTTGGGGCTAGAGGGGGCGCTGCTGAGCACAGAAGTCTGTCCACAGCCTAGCTGCCTGTATTGCCCTCTGGGCTCAACAACGGCTGCAGCAAAGAGTGGGGACAACTGAACTACCTTGCCTTGTTGGAGCACAGAATAGCAAAGTAGGGAAAGAGAGAGCACCAATCCTGCCTCTACTCATATCTAGCCAGGTGTGATATATGCATGTGTGTACACATGAATATAAATGTAGAAGTCAGAAGATTTGGTCTGAGTTTGACGGTCTTCTTTTTTAAAGGGTTCACAGTAATTGCAACCAAGATCTGCAATTGTTTTATTTCTGATTTCTACAACAACACTCTTAGATAGGCAGTGCAGTTCCCTGTTTTTATTCCAACTTCCCAGGTGAGGAAACACAACAAATAGAAGAAGGTATCTAAGGCTCCTTTTGGAGTTCTGGTAGAGTAGTGCCTAAGGCACTTGACTGCTAACCAGAAGGCTAGCAGTTCAAACCCATCAGCCACTCCTCAGAAGGAGGGTTGGGCAATCTACTTCCGTAGTGATACCACCTCAGAAACCCAAGGAGGGGTTGCTATGAGTCAGGTCTGACTCGACGGCACATCACAACACAACAAGTTTCCTTTTAAGTTTGGGGTTTCATCCTGTCTGTGCAAATTGAAGGCTGGCTGCTAGGTTTTCTGAACCTGGTGCAGAAGTTTATGGACAATAAGGAAGGGGTGGGAGAGAGCTAGGCAGAGGCTGAATTCCATCTAGTTCTGCGGCATGGTGTCTTTCTCCCATTTAGTACATACCAATCAGGCCATTCAGGGTGAGGGATTGGAATTGTGGGAATGGTAGGATATTGACTTTGACTGTCTCTAATGAATCCCAACTAAAGCTAGGCTTTGGATAACAAAAAAGTTGCTAAAAGCTTCACTGAGCAAAGGCAAGGGTGATGAAGACAGCAGGAGGAGATGGTGTCTGAGTGGCCTTCGAGCGCCTTCTCAAAGGATGCTGAGATGATGAAGGTGATGATGGAGGAGAAATACAGCTGGGGATTCTGCAGTTGGGGTGATAAAAGTCACAGCAAGCAGTGGCCTCCTGCTAATAGCTGCAGTGTGACATTTCCAGGGGATCTAGGATGCAACAGATGTCCAGGAGGGCTGGAGGGGCGTGGTTGGTTTGTGGAAGCTGAGTTTGGTGGGGGAGGGAATCTATTCTGGAGGTTCCATATCCCACTGGGAAGTCACTCCTGTCCTTTACTGTTCTTTTCAGGTTAGGGAAGTTTTATTTTTAAATTCCAAATCTCGGACTTGATTTAAGCAAAGTCCTTGATTTCCTTGGCATATGCTGAGGCACAAAGACAGCAAGTGTGGCTATTTAGAAGGCTAATAAACAAAGAAGTCTCAAGACCACACTCAATTTCTCATACATCCCCAAAGCACTTCTGGGACCTTCTCATGAGTGAGACTGATGTGGCAGGGATAGGATCAGAGTGGGTGCTGAACATGTAGGACGAGGCTGGATGACATACACAGGAGTCTAGACAATCTCACTTTCTGGAAAATACTACCTTTAGCTTCCTTTTCTATACTGCCTTTGAGTTCCAAATACTCAAGACCTCTTAATGTATTCCATTTTCCCCTCTGACCTTGTCCTTAACTCATTTCAAAGGACTGGGTACTCTGAATCCAATGAATGTATTCTGCATAAAACAAGAAAAGGTTTGAGCATTCCCTTCAGCCTCTCTGCCTAGCTCTGCCTTCCACACCCCTTCTCTTTCCTGCATCCTCTAGCAACCAAGGGCAAGAGGGAGGGGCTGAATCAAGAGGAAAAGCACCAGCCTGCGGTGTAGTGCCTAAGGCATTTGACTGCTAACCAGAAGGCTGGCAGTTCAAACCCAACCACCACTCCTGGAAGGGAAAACTCCACATCTACTTCTCTAGAGATTGTTGTAGAGATAGCACCTTGGAAACCCAAGGAGGGGTTGCTATGAGTCAGAAAGGACTCATCTGCAGGGAGTTTGGTTTTTTCTTTTTTGGAACTGCCAAGGACTTCAACTGGGGTCCTCATTGCAGGAAGGGCTGAAAGGAACCTGAGAATTCCAATTAGGTTTAAACTAATGAGCTAGAAACTCTGGGGAAACCGCTGTGGGCAATGAGGGGTGACAGTGATCATCTTCCTTTTAATTGGCACTGGAAAAACTTGTGGTCCAGTTAGTAGCATGAAGAAGGGCAGTATTTAGCGGGGACCAGTTTCTGAGCTGGTCAGAGCAGGTCAGAAGGGGGATGGCCCTGGCAGGTAGGGATAAAGGCTGCCTAACAAACTCCAACTGCTTCATCTTTAAGGAAGGAGGAATGCAGATCCTATGTGGGGAAGGACCCTAACTGGAGCCTGAAGTGCCCCTTCCCCGTCCACCCTACTCACACCATGGAGTCCAAGACTGGATAAGTGGGAAGTCCTTTGGAGGACTCTAGGTAGGAGCTCTGGTACCCTAGTGCCTAAGGCATTTGACTGCTAACTAGAAGGCTGGCGGTTCAAACCCACCAGCCACTCCTGGAAGGAAGACTTGGCAATCTGCTTCCATAAAGATTTACTACTACCTTGGAAATCCAAAGGGGGTCACTGTGAGTCACGATCAACTCAATGGCAGTGTTTTTTTTTTTTTCTTTTTCTTCTTTTTTTGAGTGTCTATAGGAGCTCTGGTAGCATAGTGCCTAAAGGCACTTGACTGCTAACCAGAAGGCTGGTGGTTCAAGCCCACCAGCCACTCCTCGGAAGGAAGATGGGACAATTTACTCTGTAGTGATACTGCCTCAGAAACCCAAGGAGGGGTCACTATGAGTCGCATCCAACTCAACGGCACATAACAACAAACAACATCAGTACGGGCCTGCACCATTCCCGAGGTCACGTCACCCCTGTCTCTCGCTATCTTGGGCAGTCTCTGTCGCTCAATAAGGCAAAGGTAGAGGAACCATCTGCTGCTGCCAGAGGCCCCGAACCACTCGTCAGTCTCCCGCCAGGCAAAGAAACTGGGAGAGAAGTGAACCAGGGATTGGTAGGTCTGTGTGTCTTAGAGAGGGGTCCTCCTCACTCGCGAAGCTCCATGATCTTGGGGCGCTCAGTTTGTGAAATTCAGTTAACAGCTGGCCACTCCTGCCCTCCTTAATGAGGGCTCATTTGGGAACGACGACCTGCCCAGGCGCCCCAGGGTTCTCTCCGGGCTCCCCAGGGTTCTCTGCTGCGGCGCAGCACCTTGGAGAAGGGCGCGGGGTCTCGCACCAGGGCTTGGGGCGCTCTAGCCGGCGCCCAAGCCCAGCACCGCGTGCGGGGTGGTCTTGGAGGAGTCTCCCTGCCCCCTGCCCGCCCCGAGCCAAGGAAAGCCACCGTGGCGAGCCTCCTCCCCGCCCGCCTGGGGCGGCTTGTGCCCGCGCGGCTCCAGTTGCTGCAGCTGCTGCTGCTGGCGGCTGCGGGGAGCGCAGGGCGCGCGCCGAGGAGGCTGGGGTGGCGAGAACGGGCCGAGGAGGAGCCGTAGGAGGCGAGGAGGGAGGCCGAGGAGGCTTAGCGGCGTGGCTACGCGGCTCAGGGATCCCGGGAGGATGGACTAGTAGGCGGCGGCTGCCCGGCAGCCGGCCGCGGTGAACCTGCCACAGCCCGGCGCGCACAGGGGCAACGAACGAGAGCTGAGCTCCACTCCGAAAGGCGGAGTCGGCGGGCGCGGGGGCGTCCCGGGAAAAGGGGGCTGATTATACATTATTAACGACTTCGCTCCTAATCAGCACAAGAGCGACTCGTTAGGTGCGCGGGAAGCGCTGGGGTCCCGGCCGGAGTGCAGCGCACACGCGTGCCGCACGGCGGGCGGCGCGGCGCGGAGGG